CCGGTTGCGGCAGCCCCTGCTGAAGCCAGTAAACGCAAGGCTTCCGGAAAGAAGCACGGGCCAGGCAAATGCGGCAGGTTTTGGGACACAACCGAACAGTTGAAGAAGAACCAGCATGAGGCTATCGCGCTCAATCAGCTACTTGAAGAGGTAACATGGAATCTTCAAGCCAGGGGCGTTTCGGTGATGGTTTGCGTGCAATCGTTTTCGCTTTTCGCGCCCTCTCGTGTCTCAGAGTCACATATCCAGATTCTCCATGTCGACCGCGACCAAACCTTGCAAGCGGCACTGATGTCTGCGCCTCCAGCCAAGCCGAGTCAGCGTATGGGTCAGCGTCTGTCCTTCATCGATGTATTCCCATGCGCTGAGTCTGGACCAAGACCAACACTTGGGCGTCAAGCAATGTCTGCGGCGGAGACGATCAGGTGTGCAGATGATCTCATCCCCCACCACGCACAAATTCGAGATCGTTCGAAGCCACATCCTCTTTGTCCCAACGCGGTCCCACTTCGTAAGCGGGAGGTTCTGAGTGCCAATATCGATCGATACGGTGCCGATCCTTACTTTCGAGCTTGGATGAGAGCAAGCATCAATGCCAGCACGCGGCGCAGTACATATGCAAAGTATCTGGCTGAGATGGAAGACAACCCTCTAGTGAATAGGAGGAAGCAGTATGCCGATACTACACTGAAGCAAGATATCATTGCCGCGCTGGTGAGCGATGATCGGGCGTGGAAGGAGCAGTTTCCTAGTGCCGTGAACAGAACCAGCTACGAGCATAACAGAAGGTTGGAATGCCGTCAGACGGTAGAGCGAGGAACCAGACTCCGAGTACTGCGCTTCGGATTCAGACATCCCATCTATCCGCCTCATACACCTGAAATGGACGCCCTCGGTCTCAACAAGCATGCGTACCACGCGATCTTGACGGATATCGACCGAATGCACACGAAGCTGCGCCTCAACACGAGATGTCCAGGAATGTATGTGGTAGCGTCGGTGATGAAGGTTCGGCGGAAGGGGACTAAAGACGCGGTTATGAAAGCGAGTGAGTACATCCGTCGATTGAACGCGTCACAACGAGAGCTTGTGTGGACCATTGAGAAGATACCCTGGGTGTATGACAAAGGGGGTGGGAGGAATCGTACAGAGTGGGAAATCAGCGCTTGGAACGCAGCAGATCCACTCGAGCTGCTCACGCAGCTTGAGAGATGGGGGATTATCGAGAACAGAATGAGTCTTGGCGATGAAGATTGAAAGCGCGTTCGCTCTGGGTTGAGGTGCGAATGTAAAGATCCATCTTGCTGCAATACCAGTGACTCTGCAACGTATTAATCAACACGTGTTGTCCGGGATGTCGGTGTGACGAAGACGGTGGGAAAGCGCAGAGTAACAGCTCCAGGAGATGGGTGACCGCGCGTGCGCGCGACTTCCACAGTCATGATCTGGATCAGGCTAGCGCCTTGGCGTGGCGGTGCATTTCCGCGAGATGTGCTAAGCAACCCCAACATCAGCCTTCTACCGACTTGAATCTGATCTATTGGCATGACTATTTCGGCGTAATTACGAGATTAACCTTCGGCGATAGAGCCCTCACCATGCACTACTTCCGCAGCGAAGCTTCTGGAGAGTGGTTATCGGACAGATTAAGTACACCGACCTTACACCTGCCCAAGCATCTAGGTGTCGACCAACATTGGTGTCGTAAGCAATGGCGCCACATCATGATTGAACTGCATGCCATGTGCGGCTTTGATTCAGCCTTCATTACTAAGGTAGCGCGGTTGTACGACGCAGATTTACAAGCAGTGCGGATTTGGGGATGTGGGGCCCTGTACCTGCATCATAGCCATGCATAATCACGTCTTCGTCGTGGTGTACATAAGGGAGCGTCTTCGTCGGTGAAGTATACCACAAAATCAACGACACTCTTAGCATTAAAATCACTACGCATTCTATAGCCCATCATAGATATCAAACCTGTTCAGACTCAACAATCAACACTTCTCGAATATGTCTATCAAGAACGTCATCATCATCGGCGTGTGTATACCTGCCAGACTTCTCCTGCACACGATAGCTAATAATATCAGGCGAGCGGCAACCTTGGTCCCTCCATTCTGAACGCCTTCCTCGAGGATTCCTCATTCAACACAACTGTCCTCTCGCGCCAAGGCTCCAGCTCGACCTTTCCCGAAGGCGTCAAAGTCATTCGCGCGAACTACGAGTCCCACGACAGCTTGAAGGAAGCCTTCAAGGGCCAGGATGCTGTCCTGTCACTCGTCGGCGGCATGGCATTGGGCGACCAAAACAAGTTGATCGATGCCGCCATCGCAGCGGGCGTGAAGCGCTTCCTTCCTTCAGAGTATGGAAGCAACGTCTATGACGAGCGCGCTCGCGAGATCGTGCCCGTATTTGAGCCCAAGTTCGAGACAATCAAATACCTCAAGACCAAGGAGAAGGAGATTAGCTGGACTGGCATTGCCACTGGCCCCTTCTTCGACTGGGGCCTCAGGGTAGCGTTCTTGGGCTTTGACGGCAAGTCAAGGACTGCTACCCTCTTTGATGATGGTGAAGCTGTTTTCTCAAGCACCAACCTCAACCAAATCGGTATCGCGACCGTCAACGCACTCAAGAACCCCGACTTGACTAAGAACCAATATGTCTACATCAGTGGATTTCAGACAACGCAAAAGGAGATGTTGGCCGCAGCAGAGAAGGTTACCGGGACGAAGTGGACTGTCAACAAGGTCAATGTGAAGGAGCACATCGAGCAAGGACGTGCTAAGTTCCAGTCGGGAGATCACAGTGGTATCATGTACTTGATTCAAGGCGCGACATTTGGCAAGGAGCTACAATTGGGCGACTTCTCATCTATGGGTCTTTGGAATGAAAAGCTGGGCGTGCCCAAGGAGGACCTTGAGGAGACTGTCAAGACTGTGTTTACTTGAGCTGTGGACAAGTAACGGTCGATGTAGTTAGTAGTCCGATGTAGTCCTAATATACCACATATTCTACAATCGAAACTCAGATCAGATGCGAACGAGTCGGGATGTTACCAAGAATTGTAATCCCTTCTCAATGTTGTGATGCGAGAAAGGCCATCGTTCTATCCAAGGGAAAGACGTGCTAGCCGCTTTTGGCCTAATCAGGACCTGGGGAAGATCCCGGCGAATCTCCATCTGAAGGTTGATGGAATGGCCGATGACCAACACGCGTAGAATTGTCGCAACACGCCATTGGAACCACTTTTAATCTAGAGGATATCGTCTTACCAATCGCAAAGATGGCAGATCGCGCGGCGAAACGCATGCGACGGATAAGCACCGAGCATGACGAATCCGAGGGCGAGGGATGGGACCAGCGAGGAAACAGCACCAGGTATGTGGCTGACAAGGCGAGCGAATAGCTTGCACCCATCGCCAAGGGAAGCGCAGCGAGTACAACATCCCCAAGAGCCCGTCACTGCCCCCAGAGGCGCCCCTCTCACCACCACCGTCGTGCCACCCGCCTGCACACCCCTGCCCCAGGCCAACGGACCCGACGGCCTATCTGACGCCGTCGCAATCCTTCCTGACTGCCTCCTCCCGCTTTTGCCGGCCTCGCACTTCGCTCCTCTGCAATCATGCCTCGCCTCCGCGCGCGCGCACCTCCAGCTCCTCTAACAGCCTCCAGTGCCCCGACCGCTTCCTCGACCCGCCCACGCCGCGGCACTGCCAACCAGTCGCCCGCTGCGGCCGTCATACAGCGCTCCTCGCCCGAAGAGACGCGCCAGTCGATCCACCTCACCGTCAAGTCGTCACCCAATAAGCTCAGACAAGCCACTGGTGGAGTCGTACCAAAGGCAGGCGTCAGCAGACAAAACATAGTCGCGGGCAAACGCGCATCCAGGAGTAGTCGCGTAGTCCGGGAGATCGACAGTGAGGACGACGAAGACGAAGATGACGACGACGCCGAGGAGGTCGATGCCATGGACGTGGACGACGACTCTGACGAGCCAGACGCTGAAGGAGACGAGGATGAGGACATGGACGCCGAGGGAGATGAAGACGACGACATGGAGGACACGCCAGCACCACGCATCACCGTAAATGCGAGCAGAGGGATCCCCGTCCAGCCAGCGCCAGCCATAAAGCTCACAAAGGCCCAAGACAAAGTTGAGGCCAAGGAAATGGCCATGGACGACGATGATGACGACGATCTCAGCGACCCCGACTCTGACCTCGAGGAGGAAGACGCAGAGGGCGAAGACGAGGATGCTGAGGGCGAGGAAGACGACGACATGGGCGTCACACCAGGTGGAGACATGGACGAGATGGACAGCGACGAAGACCTCAGCCGCGACCAGACCCCCGATGTCAGCAAGATGACGAAGCGTCAACGCGCCCTGATCAACGAAGAAGAAGACGGCGCACTCCTAGCCCTCTCGAACGAGGCGCAGAAGAAGAAACACCTCACAGCCGAAGAGCACGCTATGCGAAGGGCAGAAATGGCAAGGCGGAGGAAGAACCTCAGCGAGAAGAGGAATGAAGAGGAGAAGGTTTGTTGAACCCAGCATCTTCTTGTTTTCACAGTTACTGACCTTCCACCCCTAGCTCGACACCATCAACCGCCTCCTCAAAAAACAACCCCCGAAACGCGGCCGTAAGTCCATGATCGAGCTCAACGAAGACGGTGAGGAGATCGAACAGGAGCCTGAGCGAGCGAACCCACTCTACGTACGATACATCCAGAACGCCAAGGGAACACAACTTGCCGTGCCAGACGAGTGGCTCCAAGCCCCTGTCGGCAGAGTATTCTCTGGGGAGGCACAGAAAGGGACCCAGAAGCCTTTCAGCGGACGCATGGTAGAAGAAGTCGCTTAGCCTTCTCATTGGATACACTCATCGATGATAATGGGAAGAGTAGATGTACATTTAGCGGTGCATAATCACGGCGTTGATTGTCTTTTCTTCTATATGGAGCTTCGATAGATCAAATATCCTATTTCTTGTCTCCATCTACTTCACCTCCAATCTCATCGCGTCGTACTGCACATATACCGCTTCCGGCAACAGCGCGCTCTCGTAGTTGGTTCCGTTGTACGGCAAACTGAGGATCAAACTGTTCTCCCCTTCCTTCAGCATGGACGAAGGGAAAAGGAATTTGTGCGCGAGGTTGTAGCATATGACTGCTGAGCGGACGGCGCAGGATGAAGATTGGTTGTATCTGGTATGATTGTTAGTACCCTTCCATGATTAAAGACGGAGTAAAGAATGAGAAACTCACGGAATAATCCAAGGCTCAAGATCCACCCCATTCACATTAACCGTATACGGCAAATTCGAATACGGCTCACTCGCATTAAACACATCCGTATTCCCCGCCGCCGTCTTCGCGCCCGCAAGCTGCACCGTAAACGTCGCAGTAGTCCTGTTCTTGAGTTCATTCGCCTTGGCATCGAACAGAATAGTCCAGTTATATGGATGATCAGGTACAGGTTCGGGACGCTCGTAGTTTGCTTTTCCGCCGTAGACAGCCCAGTGAACATAGTTGAGTGCTTGAGACGCGTCATCCGTACCGACCTTGTATGTCACGCCTTCGGGGAACTCGTCGATGAAATCGTAAGCACCCCAGTAGAGGCGGTATTCTTCTGTGAGGAGAGGGTGTGTCGGGGACTGGGCGTAGCCGTGGCGGTACTCGCCTGAGGATTTATCGGGGGTGCCAATGCGGAAGAGTTCTGTGCCGGCGGACTCGGGGGTCCATGTCGCTGTTATGGAAGTGGCTTCTCCCGCTGAGACGGAAACGTCGTCTTGGATGTAGTCGCCGAAGATGCCGTCGGCGTAGATTGTGAGACGGTAGTTTCCGGCCTTTACACGGGGGATGGTGACTTCGCCTGCGGGAGAGATGTCTTCCCAGTATTGGTACGCTTTCGTGTCGAAGACGTTGTCTTGGAAGTCGTGGCCGCTCTCTGTGAGGATGGCTATGGGGTTCTTGGCTCCGGTAGGCAGATTGATCTTTGCGTTGAAGGTACCGCGACCAGAGGTGGGGACGAGGTTCGGTACGTGTTTTGCAATGGAATCGTAGAAGTCAGCGTTCCATTCTGGACGGAGGCCATACTGGTCGGCATCTTCTCGGAGCTCCTCAAGTGAACCGCCGGAGTTGAAGTGGAAGTACTGCGGCCCAAAGGTACGGTCGAAGCCATCGGTGATGTTGGGCGTTTGATCGCCGTGATGGTTGGAGACCATGTAGTTGTATACGATGCCATCGACGACGAGGTCAGAATGCACGGGACCGTTGAAGTAAGTTTCGACAGTGTTGTGTACAAGCCAGGCGCCGTAGGTTGAGCCATTGGCGCTACCAGTACCGTCGGCGTACATACCATGGGCCTTGTGATCGCGCCATGTGTCTTGGAAGGTGTACTTCGTGAAGTAGTCTCCTACGCCCGTCACGTACGGATCTTCCTTATTGGCCAGCCACCATGTAGCGTCTTGAACAGTGACTTGTCCCTCGGTATCTGGGCGGGGTGCAGCAAACTTCTCGTTGGTAATGAAGTGCGTGAAGAGCGCGGGTTCATGGTTTGGCCTGAACAGTGTGCGGAACTCTTGCAGGTTGCGCAAGAATGGAGTGGTCTTGTTGTTGTACACCACACGGCTGAAGGTATGTAGCCCTGTTTCCCCTTCTCTCAGGAACCAGTACTGCTCTAGCCTCTGACCGGTCGGAGCGTATGTCTCGCCCATGCTGATACCCCCATACGAAGTATTAGTAGAATCCTTGCCGTTGAACAGCTGGTACTGAACATTGCTTCCCCGGCCTGGTGTCCAGAAGCCAGATGGAGTGCAGTAACAGTCGAGATAGGGACCGACTCCAGTGTTGCCATCTTCCGTCCCAAGGAGGTTCTGCCCGTCAAGAGTAAGAACATTGATATATCCTCTTGTCTTGCTCACCGACGCAACAAGACGATCGTTGGCAATGGTTAGACTTTGGTTGTTCTGACTCGCGTTCAGAAAAGCCCATGCTTTCGAAGTCAACAAGAGCGCTGCCGCGGTCGCTGTGGTGGAGCGCATGTTGTGAACGGAAGGCGCCAACGAGCACTACATGCCCTCAGAGGTACTTCGCTCCCCATTCTTATACAAGCCGTATCCAGGTACACGGGAAAATTAATTGAAGCTAAGCTCGATGATCCTGGCCGTAATCCGGGGTAAAGGAGGAGAGACTGCTATGGGGAAGACGCGCTACTCGGCCCTTCGGCGTGAAAGCGACCGAGGACAGGGTTTGTTGGACAACTGAGTGGCCCACATGCTCCTTCCGGAAGATATTTGCTCGAGCAGAGCATGTTCCATGTCTCGTTGCTGGTGATGATGACTTCATGTTGGATACGGAGAGTTCGTCATATCGTTGTTGGGCCGTGTCCGCAATTCGCTTCGCGATATCCTTCCAGGTTACAACAATCGGGCGAGTCATGACGTTTCGTGCTTTTTATCGCAACCGCCCGATCATCTGCATCATGTTTGCCATTTTGTACCCGCCTACAGTTTCCGCTTTACGTACGGTGGCTCATATAGCTGGATGCTCTGGACATCAGCGTACTATTTCATAGCTAATCTGACCTCTAGTTTCCTCGAGGTTCTCTACGCGTTGAAACCTTTGTCGACTGTGTAACCAGCTTTCTTTCAAGCCCGTAACGAGATTGACATTGCCTTTCCAATAGTATTCCTTTGGCCCATCCCCTTTTGTCCTCAGTAACCAGACTACCCTGCGCCTACCTAACCGTCGCAGCAACACTCCATGAGTCCAGGCTTTGAAGCGAGTGAAGAGTGACACCAGACCTTGTCGTTCTTTCGTTGGTGCCCGCTCCTGCAACTTCGTGACCATCATTTGGACGCAATCCTCGATGGCAAGGAGTGTGGGCGATACGCGGTAGATGCGCCAACCACGGTCTTCAGCCTCATCGATGAAGAACCCCTCCTTATTCGGTACTGTGATAGTGACAGGACCAGAAGTACCACAAAGTGACCCATCGGCGTGACCGACAGAGGTCTTATAGAGCATTACCGAGAGTCGTTGGGAGCTGGAGAAGGAGACGATGCGGTTGCGTTCGAGCAGCGGTAGTGCCGGTAACGGAGCCGGGGAGGCTTTCTATTGGAATGAGAACTTATCCTCATCGTTGAGGCAGGCGTTACGATAGGCACTTACATTCCTAGTCATGGCGTACTCGCTATTGAGAAGTCGAACGAACATTGTCTGCTGCATATCCACAGAGGCCGCCGCTATCTTCGCCTTCATGAATACCAACTCAAGTATGGCTATAGATCGGAAGATCATGTAGTCCCTGAGAGTGATCTTTGACGATGAACCCTTCAAGTATACTGCGACATAGATCAACGTGAAGAAATTCACAAGCGGCGTATCGGACCAGATGAAACGTCCGGCTCTTCTTAAAGCCATGATTGGCATCACAAGGCTCCTCTCCCGGCAAGCCACTAGTGCCGATGCAATGAACGTCAAGCCGAAGGTTGTCGCGATGAGGATGTTAAGCGCGGTGGCTGGAAGAAGTAGGTTCATTGCGATAGCACAGGCGAGCGAGATGGTTAAGAGAATGAACCCAGTGTTGGTGAAGTATAGCTCTGCAAGCTCACCATCGTGATCTCGCGAGAAGACGGAAGTGTAACCATCAAGCACAAGAGCTTTCTTGATCCCAGTCCTGTCCTTGTGACGTACTGCGAGATGGTAGAGTATAGCGAGGCCGTTGCTGATCTCTTTCAGGAAGACCGTAATGCAAGAGTGTAGCAGCAATGCACTGCCGAAGTTGATCTCCTTAGTCCAAGGAACGGGCGACATGATGAAGTAGGGCTTTTGAACAAGGCTGTGGTGTCGTGTTGTGGAGAAGAAGGGTATCACTCACGAGGCTGAGCACTTGAGAAGTAGCTGATCGATAGACTGCATTAGCAATGGCGGGAAGTAAGCTGCGAGTGTACCATGCACTCCTCAACCCAGCCTACCAACATGCTGCCTGCAGCAGAGAAGCAAACACATGCACCTTCAGGCACATGTAGTGGGGGGCGGAAACGCTGTCCTAGCCATGCCCAGGCGAGGCAGCCTTGGAACTACCGCGGCATCGAGTTTGAAGCCATACACCGAGGTTGTCCAATACCCTCTGTGTGTCTCTAACCCCATGCCATTTGACATGCACCAATGATGCCATAGAGGAATGTCAGCTCGTTCGCGATCGATGGTGGCTGCGTTCGCGGTTTAATCTTTCCCGCAGAAAGGAAGCGAGCCGTCACGCTAACTGACCCGGCTTAAGAATGCAGCTGTGTCAACGTGAATGCTAGGTATGCTACGGGACACAAGAGATCTACGGTTAAGCAATGTTCGTAAAGAGGAGAGTTACTTATGTGCAAATCCACAAGGCGTTTTCTGACCGACATCCGGGCATAGTGCAACGCGTCCACGGGTGGGCGGGCAACTTTAAGCCTTGGAATGTGCTCAGATGTTCACCTCGGCAGGATCGTGCACGGGCATGTGCACGGGCACTCGTGTGCGTCTCGCCATTTCCTAGACATCTCGTGCCTGTCTAGGTACCTAAGTTACCACGTTGTCGGACTATTCCAGGGCTTGTTGGTTTTACCAATCCTTACCTTATATTCCGCGTTTGCATAAAGAAGAAGCAAGCGTGGTTAGCTCTCAGACTTCCGCCTAGCTTCCTATCGGGTTTGCCCTTGTCGCGCCACATGCCGTGCCACATCGAGCGCCGGCATGCCGGCAGCTCGCCCTTGCTGGGGGTCCGACAGATTGTTACGAACCTTGACGCCCAACTCATTGCATTAGAAAGGGTCACATCCCTAGGTAGTATCATACTCGAGAGACTGATGACCGTCACGCACAACTGGAAACCTCATTACGCGTTCTTTCGAAACAACACTTCGAGAGGCATCGATCCAATATGCGCTCCTCTTCAACGCTGATGCGCTCACTCAAAGAGAAACTTATCGAAACGTTAATTGTCGCGCCTTACGACCGCGGACTAAAGAGAAGCGCACGTAAGCGGAAGGAGTACCACGATCGTTTACGAGCCGAAGCTTGTGCTGCTTGGAACGCCCGACTTCCTAGAGTAAGGCAGAACTCTGAGGACGCCTTTGACTCTTGTTCAACCGCCGACGTATGCACCCAACAACAATCGCCGTTCTTCGCGAAGCTGCCTCTCGAGCTACGGAGGCTTATTTATACATACGCCATGGGCGGCCAAGTCCTCCGGCTTGAGCTCCATGGCCAGGACGATAAACAGCTTCAGCGGCAGATGTGTGAGGAGAACGACGACGAGATTCCATTCACGCTGAGTTGCGTACAAGCAAGGAAGCTGCTCGGGTTCCCAGCGTCTTGTAAAACTGCGTGAGTAAAGTAAATTTCTCACATGAATAACGTTACTGCTACATGATACAGTATCTGACTGAATATGCTAAAGCTACTTCGAAGCCGCACAATACGTCTATAGCGAAAACATCTTTCGAATTCCCAGCCTTACCGCCTTCTTCGCTCTTCACCGTATTCTTCCTCCGCGTTGGTTCCAAAGCATTCGTCGCATGAATTTGAGATGGGCGTATCTTTCAACACACGAGATGCACAAATTTCTTGAAGGCGACCCACCGTATAATGCTTCATGTTGGTCTTCAATGTGGTTGGAAATATCAAAAATGAGAGCACTAGAGCATATGGAGGTCGACATGGTGATCTGGGCGCCATATGTCCGTGCTGCATATGAACATGTCCTCTTTACTCCGCTGGAAACTCTGAGGGGTTTGAAAAGGTTTGCGGTATACACTAGTTGGAGCGAAGATGGAAACTTTCGACGAGAGAGTGGAGGAAAGACATGGCCTTTCGAGATCACGCGAGGAATAGGCGTGAGTGACTGGTTGCCCATGCAATGATGTCTTTTTCATTGAACAAGTTACACTATGAAGTCAAACTTCACTCGACCAAACAGAGCATATCCAGCCATGGGCTCTATTGGGTCCGCAAGAAGCTAGGCGTGTCACGGTCTCAACCGAGGGGCACCTTGCATAAGCCACGCCCCGACTTTGATGAAGCTGTGCCGCAATGGCTTTGCCACACCAGGGTGATTAGGCACCAGTCTACCTTATCACTTATAGGCCACATTCGACTTCGGAGTGAACCTCTTTGTATTGATGATAAGTATCGAACAAACAGGACGTCGATTATATGGTATCGCTATTGCCCTTTTCTCCCTTGACCACATCTTTCTCAACTCTCTGGCAATGGCCATGCGACCAATCAAAGACGCAGCCTGGTATGTGCTCAACAAGTTTGTGCAAGCAGTGATCGTACCTTTGCATGATAGGGCCATAGCCAAGAAACTGCAGAGGCGAAGACGAGCAAGTATAGAAGGGCGGAACAGGCATCGGGCTAACTGGAACGCATCTTTACCACCTAACTGCTCTGACACGATGGAAGTCTGGGCATTGAGCGCAGCAACGGATGGGTTCTCCACTCAGCCACAATGCTTATTTTTCACGAAGTTGCCTCCGGAGCTGCGGACGATGATCTATCCATACGCCCTCGGAAATGAAGAACTTGAAGTGGAGCTCATCCCCGAAGAGAAAGAGCTGTGGATATATCACGACCAGACGGTATCGTCCTTCGATTTGAAATGCGGGAAGTTTCAGCAGCTTATGGCCTTTCCCCGGTCGTGCAAGATCGCGTATGTCTCTTCCCCTACCTGAGGTCTCACTGGTGTACTTTCGGAAATATGACTAACTTGTTTGCGCTAGGTATCTTGAATCAATACAGTATCTCTATGCATTCAACACTTTCTATATCCCTACCAGCACAGCATTCTTCTGCCTCCATCGTCTTGTACCCACGCATCACTTTCAAGCAATTCAATCGCTACACCTGAAGTGGAGAAGTCATGACTTAAGCATGCTGTGGGAGATGGCGAAAGGTGTACCGCCATACGACCTGTCATGCTGGACTCGTACCTGGAAGGCGATATCCAAGATGGAGGCCCTAAGATACATAAGGGTCGACCTGGTGACATGGAGGACGCGTCCTAAACCGTATCATATCTACGAGGATGCCTTGTTCACCCCGTTGAAGGAAGTTAAAGGCTTGCAACAGTTTGATGTACTTGTCAGTTGGGAACTCGGCAAAGAAGTAGAAGGGGGAAGGCATTGGCCTTTTACGATCAAAAGAACTATGGAACATGTTCGATGAGCAGGCCCGGGCGGCGTGGAGCTTTGGATGGACACATCGAGCAGCTTCCGGGGTAGTTTACATATGTTAGATCATCGCGTTAAGATTTCGTCAGTCGAAGTTGTAACTAACTCACACAAAAGTAATGCTAAAGATGCATCACCGCAAGAATTAAAAGTGTTATACTCATCCAAAATATCCTGTTCCGGCGTTTCGGTGCTAATCCGGGACGAATGACCGGTGACGTCATCATCTGGGGGGGAACCGAATCCGCGTTGTGTACCTGCCTTCCGAAGCATCAACACCAAACATCGGAAACCCCGGGATCATCTCAGCTTTCGCGGCCTTTTTCCGCAGTGATGAGCTCTTCTCAACCCGAGAGCCAGCCTCTGCTACACAGCTCTCCAACCAAAGTCATAGCCTTCGAGTCCCACGATCCAGACGACCCCCGGAACTGGTCGAAAGCGCGCAAATGGCTAATGGTTGCTGCCATTGTCCCGATAGACCTAAGCGTCTCTTGGGGTGCGAGTGGCTTTAGTCCTGTCGCGAGCGACTTTGCGAAAGACATGGGCGTGTCGCCGAGCGTCGCTGTTCTGGGACTGAGCATGTATGTTCTTGGGTTGGCTTTTGGTCCTATGACCTTGGCGCCTCTTTCGGAATACTTTGGACGAAGACCTGTTTATATTGTGTCTTACGGCATCTTTCTCTTGCTCCTTTTGGGGACGACATATGTAGAGAGCCTTGGGCCGTTTCTTGTCCTGCGTCTGTTCTCGGGTTATTTCTCATCCACGACCATCTCGAACTTCGGAGGCACCATCGCGGATCTCTTTCACCATCACGATACCGGGCCAGCAATGTCTTGGTTCCTCTGGGCAGCGACAGGCGGCAGCCCGACTGGATTTGTACTCTTCTCGTTCATCGCGCATGGCCGATCGTGGCACACCGCGTTCCGCATCATGTTTTTCATCTGCTTGACCTTTTGGGTGGTCATGGTCGTCGCGCTCTATAGCCTTGGAGAAACAAGACATAGTGTAATACTCTTGCGGAGAGCACGAGCCCTACGGCAGCAAACAGGCGACGATGAGATTGAGGTGCCGGACGAAATGAAGCAACGAGGACCGAAGCAGCTGTTCACTACAGCACTCGCCCGCCCATTCAGATTCTTGGGCTCTGAAGCTATCGTGCAGTTTGGTGCACTCTACAACGGGTTTCTATACGGCTTGAGCTTCCTCTTTAACGGAGCCTTTCACATGATCTTTGGCCCGAACGGATACGGTCTTGATACTATCGGTGTCGGTATCTCATTCCTGGGAATTGTTGTCGGTATCACACTTGGCCTAGCGACGAACGTCTTTCAAGAACGATACTACCAAAAACAAGTTGCTCAGGCCGGCCACCGCGACGTCCCCGAGGCGCGAGTGCATCATGCGAAGCTGGCAGCTATTGTGCTACCAGTGTCTCTTATGGCTTTCGCACTTACCGCAACGCCAAACATACACCCCTTCTTCGCAGTTCTCGCCAGCGCGTTCTGGGGATGGTCATTCTACACTCTCAGTAAGTTACACAGATGATCCACGTCACTCATGCTGCACTAACAATTCGATGTAGTTCTCATGACGCTCACGTACACCGAAGACGCCTACAAAACGTACTCAGCATCAGCTCTTGCCGGAATTGGACTCATTCGGAATCTCGCTGGTGCTGGATTCCCACTCGTCGGAAGACACCTGTTCTTGAACGTAGGCACCAGGAACGCGAGTCTGGTACTGATGGCGATCGCTATTTGCCTAGCGCCAATACCATTCGTGCTTGAGAGAAGAGGCGTATCATTGCGCAAAAGAAGCCCATGGGCGGCCGCGCATGAAGATGAGGACGAGAACAGCTGAGCCTAATGCCACCGGTGACAACTGTCTCGCATGATAGGGCTCAGTCTGTCCTGTTTATGGGAAGGCATTGGTGGCGCGTCAGATACATGCTCCAAGTTCGAAGAATTTGGCTGCCATACGCCTCGCTATGGACCGCCTGTACACGATCTCATACGTTAATGATGGCCGCAGTGTGCCCGGTCAAGCATAAAAGTCTTCGCAACTCTATACCTGGGCAAGCACGTGGAATGGATTCCTGTATCCGACGAACTCCACATCATAATCGAATCAGAGAGCCCTGTCCTACTCGCGTTCAATCTTTCCATCAGCCACTGATATGCATTCCTCATTACTCAGCCCTTCGGCCGTCTAGGCAGCGGCAAGTTAGCGACCCAAATGGTTCGATCTCGCGCACGTGACATCCACTACACAGCAAACCCAACACACTCATTGGACAAAACAGAGCATGACGGCTACCCAAAATCAGCATAACAACGTTTCGAGCACAACAGAACGTGTTGTTTCGGATCTGCCCGTGGTTTTAGCGCGTAATCCCATTGAACGTTGCGGGCCAACCAACACGTCGCGCAGCCGAGAGGGTCGGCGCGTAACGCTAGATCTCGCGCTGCCGACTACCCACCCGCGTATCCACCTGAGATATTCTTAGACCGTACGAAGTCTACATATGAGGCTCTGCTCTTGCGATGATAGTGCAGTATCCTCCAGCTTCAACCGTCTTTCTTTCCTTCAGTCGATTTTCATTCGGTTCTTTTCTTTTGAGTCTGTTCTGTGAACAACTCTGTGTTTCATTCTCGACATAACTTGCTTGTTTCCTTCAGTCAAGTCTCAGCATAGCGACGGAGTTTTTCTCTCATCTATCGTCTTTCGTCATTTCCCATTTTCTTGTTGCGAGAGAAATTCCGACCAGCGCGCAAGTCGTGTCTAGTACCTACAACGTCATCTCGAATTACGACTACATCGCGACTCATCTACGAAACGATCGCAAGACACCTCGACAGCCTCTTCAGGAATTCCAAATACCCACACCAACACGATAAACTCTCAGTAACAACACAAAAATGTCCTGCCAACCATTCACTCCGGTCCCTCAACCACCCACCAACCTCCCATCGTGCGCCGTACCTGTCGGTGGCTCGAACTCTTCAATACTAGACGCATGCTGCAACGGGCACATCAACGCGATCGCGACATACTCCGCTCCCGACTCAACCACATCATCACCATCCGCGTCCTCCACTCCAGTCATCGTTAACTCAGAAGACAATGACGGCTGCTTCCAATACTGCATCACCGATTCACCAGACATCGTCCAAAGCTGCTTGGCACAAAAAATGGAAGAATATGAGAAGGAAGGCGCAAGCGGCATGGGCACGTTCGGCTGCTTCAACACGGACAAGGCGGTGGGTGCGAGAAAGGTCGATGAGGAACGAGGATACGCTAGTGCGGGTGTGAGCATCAACGGAGGTGCGAGCTGGGTGGTATCAATGCTGCTGGGTTTGAGTGTCATTGGTGCAGTTGTGGGAGGCATTTGAGCTCCATTGAAGAGATCGGTACATGGCAAAACCGTGGAAAGATGCGAAATGCTTGATCGAGTTTTATACCAGGGCTATTCTCTAGCATCTCCTAGCGCTGACGCTGGACGTAATGAATAATGACATATTTCAATCCTCGACTATAGTAGCGGTGTGGAACGACAACACTGATGAGATCTACGATACGATGGTTTGAACGACTTGGTTGCGCATCCGAACCGCAGAGATACCCGTCCAGTCCCAAAAGTAAAAAGCAAGATTTCCCCAGCCTCAAATCGTCTTCGACACCTACAAAGGCGGTGAGTGAGCAAAGGAAGAATTCCCCACACTCACAAAGCGCCTCAACAACATTGTGTGCTAAGAACACGAGCGCAGATCCATCATGCTTGCACTAAGTAGGGGTGTGGTGGCTGCGATAAATTATTAACAACTCTGGTGTTTCTTCTTACAACTACCGTCTAAGCCTGTCAATCCTCGACCATGTCAACAATGCCGGAGCAACCACACATCGTCAGATACTGTGACCAAGAACTGATACACCCACAACCTCGGCATCCGGTGCCCATTGTCGAAATAGAAAGAATAGCAGCCAAAGCTGAGAAACAAGCTTCTTCAGACCTAGCCTTCGCATCGCAGCAACAACCACAGGCGCAGCAAGAGCAACGGCCACAACCACAAACGAAACCAGACCAAATTCCCCAACGAAAGCGAAAAGACAGCGCGGCACCTTCATTATATTGTCCCTCCCCCGTCTCGGAACAATACGAGCAAGCTTCTAAAACCGAGCTGCTCGTTGCCTCACACTCGCCTAAGCATGTGCCGGAGCATTTCTCCAACTCGGGCTTATTAGAAGCTGGGTTCAACCAGGAGACTTCTCGCAGGAATTCCAACTGGCGTCGGTTCTTTTGTAAGCCCCTAATCGTAAGAAACTCTGACGAGAAGTATTGCTAAGCTTTCACATAGATGGTTCTCTAGAGTTCTTGATTCCTTTTGGGAGTGAATGGGATAGTCCGTGTTTAGCGTCCCGGAGGACTTCTGTTTGAATTGTGTCGAGAGCACGCATACTATTTATGAATGAATGAAATCTTTAAATATGAGATCTTCTCCCAGTTGACACTGCAAGCTTGATGTGTACCTGATGATGATGGGTCTGTGGCTGAGGGGCAGCCGATGTGGAGACGAGGGAAAGTTCCCCGCGACGTTTTAGCGCTATCGCACCCCTGCCGCCGATGCGGAGCGTCATATCTTTTTCTCGAACGCGCAAACAGTCACAACCCAATTCCACACCTTATTCTCTCATAGATCTCAAGATGGCATCCGAAAAGAAAGTAGCAGAGAACATGCTCTGGGGAGGTCGTTTCACAGGTTCGTGCAGCCATTGGCCTATTGAGTTCACCAACACTTGAGATGACTGGTGCTAAGACGCGTTGCAGAGGGCCTCGACCCAGTCATGGAGCAATACAATGCTTCTCTCCCCTACGACCGTCTCTTCTACGCTGAAGATATCGCCGGCTCTATCGCATTCGCCCGCGCAAACAAGAACAATGGCATCCTCACCGCCGACGAGTTCGCTGCCATCGAGAAGGGCATGGCACAGATCAAGGAGGAGTGGGCGTCGAATTCCTTCGAGGTCAAGGCGAACGATGAAGACATCCACACCGCCAACGAGCGACGGCTAAGCGAGATTATCGGCAAGGACATTGGAGGCAAACTCCACACAGGGCGAAGCAGGAACGAGCAAGTCGCGACCGACATGCGGTTATGGCTGAGGGAGCAGCTCAGGACACTAGAGGGCTACTTGAAGCTCCTGATCAAGACATCGGTACAGCGAGCCGAGGCTGAGATCGACGTGCTCATGCCGGGCTACACACATCTCCAGAAGGCACAGCCCGTCCGGTGGTCGCACTGGATCCTATCGCATGCCACCGCTTTCGCATCCGAGCTCGAGCGCCTCCGCGAAGTCATCAAGCGCGTCAACCGTTCCCCACTCGGTTGCGGCGCGTTGGCAGGCAACCCCTTCAACATCGACCGCGACGCCATGGCCAAGGAGCTTGGTTTTGAGGGCCTGCTTACAAACTCCCTCAACGCCGTCGGAGACCGCGACTTCGTCTTCGAGACACTACAATGGGGGTCGAGCTTCATGCTCAAGATGTCGCGCTGGGCGGAGGATCTGATCATCTACTCGAGTCTGGAGTTTGGTTTCGTGCGGTTGGCCGACGCCTACTCTACCGGAAGCTCTCTCATGCCCCAGAAGAAGAACGCAGACTCTCTGGAACTCATCCGAGGAAAGAGCGGTCGTGCGTTCGGGCACATGGCGGGTTTGTATGTCACCATCAAGGGTCTTCCTACAACCTACAACAAGGATCTGCAGGAGTCTGTTGAGCCTCTCATCGACCACATCAAGACGGTCAGCGACTCCATCCAGATCGCCACCGGTGTTCTGTCGACCCTGAAGATCAATGCCGACAAGATGCACGCTGCATTGGCCCCGGAGATGCTGGCCACAGAGTTCGCAGACTACCTCGTCCGAAAAGGTGTGCCTTTCCGTGAGGGTCACCACATCTCTGGTCGTGTCGTTGCGCTAGCAGAGGACCAAAACGTTCCCATGGATAAGCTGAGTTTGGAGCAGCTGAAGGGTATCGACTCCAGGTTAGGCGACGACGTAGTTGAGTGCTTAGATTACGAGCGCGCGGTAGAGCTGAAAAACGCCACTGGTGGTACAAGCAAGAGCGCTGTTATGGAGCAGATCGACATCTTGAAGACGATCCTCTAGAGTAGAGGTTTGCCAAGCGACGCCAAAAACGGGGTTAGACAAAATTCACGGTGGTGACAGGTTATGAGAAATGAGAAATGATTACCACACCACTTAGATGTCGAGCGTCGATGAAGGCTGTCGCATGTGTGCGCTGTTAGCATGTGCTTACCCCACTTCATCTAGCCAGCGGATCCGCGTTCACATCGCAATGAGCCCTATGCTTTGGTAGATCTGGATTTACTGCAACTAACTCGCATCTCATTCCTAAGAAAATCATTAGGGTCGAACACCTGTCTGAATAAAGCTACCATGCAACAAGATTCACACAACACCGACGTCATCGCAAACATAAACTACTTCCCTGCCACCGGCATCCCCATCCCCAAATCAGAATGGAAAGTCAAATACCTCGACGACAAAGATGAATACACCCGCCCCATGCTCATCCGCGATGTACGAAAAGCGAATAAGACGTTCGACCTAGACGTCAACGGCTTTACATTCGTCACACTCCCCCAGAAGCAGAGAGTAGACCGGCACAGCAGCGAAGAAGATGTAAAAAGAGAATACTACCCAGAGTTGGAAGAAGTGGTTAAGAAACTGTACAGCCCCACCAATATCCTCCATTCAAGACCCCGTCTTAAAAAGCAAAAATATCTAACAACACCCCCAGAACCAACGCCTCAACCGTCCACATCTTCAACCACGTAATCCGCGCGCACACCTCCCCCTCCGCAAAGGGCATCCAAGACGCCCTCGGCCGATGGCAAGACATACCCTCGGGCCACCCCCACGTCGACTACGCGGGCTCCGCATCCGCTCTCAGCGGTACACTGACTGAACTCTCGCTCCCACCTCACATCAACAATCTCTTCACAACATCCACGCGCTACGCCTTCCTCAACTGCTGGCGGCCCCTAAAGACCGTGCGGCGAGACCCGCTGGCCGTGTGCGATGCGGATACGGTGCCGGAGAGTGATTATCAGGTTAGGTTGAGGGAGTTTAGTCGCACGGGGAATCGGAGTGAG